TGCTTCTAAGCTGGAGAATATTAATTCTTCTGCAATACTAAAACTAGGCAGAGGGTTTTGGTGGTAGCTTAGCCTTTCCCTTTAAATCTATATTGACCCCAGTAACCCATCCATCCTCTGGCATAGGGACCAAGAAGACTGAGGGGCTCACTTAGGAAGAAGTTTTTCTCATGAGGCTATTCAGCAATTAAGGATGCAATTACACACCCCAGAGCACAGCTGTATTCACTTGCTTCAAAAGTGAAAGGCAGCACAATTTTCTGCTCCTCGAGTTGGCAAAAGAGCCTTCAGTCTGACCACACTGCTGAAGGTAGTGACCTGAGCTACTTCATTACATGTCTCTCTCTTAATTATCTCCCGAAGGTTAGTTTTAATGTGCTGGACATAATCAAGAGAGTTTTATAGAACAGCTTTCTGGGATGGATAGAGGGAGAATGAAGGTCAGCTTAGCTTTCTGTTGGGAAAGAGAGGTCTTTTTAAAGCAAGAGTCACTGCTCATGACTCCGTCTCCCCAGCCTGCAGTGGTGGTGGTGCTCAGCGGGGCATGATGAGGCTGGATACATTTGGGGTTGTTAAATGGTCCTGTTCTGCACTACTGGGAACCCTCTGAACCCCAGTGCTGTGAAGGACCCAGAGATACATGCTGGTGTGAAGGTGTTCTGTGCTGTGTGTGCTACTGGCTAGCCAGGCTCAGAGTGGAGGGTCTATATTTGCAGCCAGAAGAGAAGGAGAAGGCAGGAGAGTGTGTCAGGCAAAATAGGTATTGCTGAAGTGGAGATGCAGTTAGGGTTATTTACATGACAGTCAGGTGCTGTTAGTCAGATCAGTTACTTATGAGCTGGAAAATGCAGTTTTCTCATCAAATGAAGAAAGTTGTGAGTTTGGACCGAACTCAACCAGGAGCTGAGGGTCTCAGAATTAGCCAGGAAGGAGGATTGCTAGAAAAGCTGGAATGTGTCAGGTCTTTATTGGAGGCAACTTGAGGAAAATTGAACTAAGCCCCAGCTTGTTCAATTAAAAATAAATATATGAAACTCTACATTTAATTTTGGCTCAGGCAAGATACTTCCATCTGCTCAAAAGGAAATATTTTGTTGCAGGGATAATGTTTTAGGTCAACACAAGGTAATTCCTCCTTTCTCCTCCCCTATTCTTTGGTTCAGCTACTGAATCAAGCAATCAATTATTCAGACAGAGCTAATATGCATATGGTAATTGTTTCCACATTTAAATACACCTCTGGACAGGCAATCAGGAGACCTGGATTTTATTTCCAGCTCTGCTACTGTGTCTGCTGTGACCTTGGGCATTTCACTGCACTCTTGAGTCCCTCCTTTCAGGGCAGGACAGGCCCATGTCTCACAGTGGTTTTGCTGCATGTTGATAATACTAAAATAGCATGGAGGTCTTCTCATTTCCACTCTTAGCAACTAAACATTTAGCTATCACTAATTCATGCATTCCTAATTCTCCCAGTGTGAGTTAGTTGCATTGCCTTACGAAACTCCCTGTAGTTTACTTAATAGGTCAAAAGGAATTTCAGCTGCTGAAATAGCAACGTTCTCTTAAAACAAAACCACTTTAATGAGCCCAGCTAAATCAAAGGGTTTTTTTTCCCTCTTCCTTCCTTAAATATTTCTCTTTGTAATCAGCTCTCCAAATACACAAATTGCCTGAGATTTCTCTCAAGTGAAAGGTCCATATGTGTTGTTGCAATTTGTAGATGTTTGGAATACCTTAAACCATGTTAAAGCATGACAGTGGGAACTGGTTTGGAGCAGAGGGAGTTGGATCATAGGGTAACTCAAGCTGAAGGAACCTCAAGCAGTTTCTAGTCCAGTCTCATGGTCAAAACAGGGTTAACTATGAGATTACATGAGGTTGCTCAGAGCTTCATCCAGTTAGGTCATAAAAACCTCCAGGGATGAAGACTGCACAGCCTTCCTGGGCAACCTTTTCCAATGCTTGACTGTCTTCATGGGGAGAAGATTTCTGCTTATATCCAGAATCCTCCTGCAGAGACACATGAGCTCTTTGAGCCGTTTTTCCTGGCTGATGCTCTGCAAGATCCACAGAGAAAGGCAGTGGGTATGGCCAAAGCCTTGATAGTGGATGGGGACCCTGCCTTCGACCTCACCACAGCTTGCCATCATATCCAAGTTTTCCTATCAATAAACCTGGTGATGTCTGGTCTGTCTGGATGAATGACCTGCTCTGTCATGAGGGAAGGGCTGGGGCTTTTCAGCTGTAGCCTGATATTTCAGAGGTAACTGAATTGCTTGTTTACACCGGACTTTTGGTACCTGGCAGGGGTCTGCAAGAAGTTGAAGCACCCTGAGGCTGTGCTAGAACTGTGTAAAGGGGAGAGCCCCATGGAGACACGAGGGCAATGGCATTCTGCCAGGTCACAGAAGAGCAAAGGAGTTTGGGGATGGAGGGCAATAGCAGAGCTGGCTTCTGCTCCTTGTCTGCCTGGGGCACAGTGTTCAGCTGTTCACTCCTTGCCCTCTCTCCAGCTTGCATTTACCTGCCTCACACCCTTTGCTTAATTAGTTTGTCAGCCACTGTCATCATAGCAGGAGCCTGCAGAGCACCCAGCAGAGCGTAGCTCTCACTGCAGCTACTGTAGCTGGGCTCTGCTGTAACACAAGTGATAGCTTAATAAACCACAGCATTGCAGACTGAGTATCTTGGCATTGATTGCAGCTTCTTATTAAAATAAGAAAGAGAGAAGGAAAAGAAATGCAAGAAATCAGAGAGAGTGAAGGTTATAGTAATTAATGGCTTCACTTTTAATGCCAGAGACCCAGGTAAAAATGTCTAATCCCCAAGGCAGAAATTAGGGTGAAGTTTGATCTGCTATTTGTCACTAGCTTGAATTTGGTTTTCCCTTCTGGTTCCAGCCTAAAGTCTGAAATGCAGAATTATTTCTGGTGAGCCTGAGTACTAGTGAGTGACTTGTGGGGAAAAATCCAAACTCTGCAAAGACAAATGAAACCTGAATCAAACCCATTAAATTAACTCTGCATCTCGGAGTGGACTGAAAAGCTCTCTTATTTAAAGGTCCCCGATGAGTTTCATTTTCCTGTCAGCATCATTCTGAAACCTCACTGCGTTCCTGGGTAATGAGAGTGACTCTTCTGGCTTTGAGTGTTGGCTCCCTGCAGAAAAGGCATTCTCCAGTTCCCCCAGTTGGTCTGTGAGGGGTTACCTGCTCTGTCCTTTGGGCTGCAGTTTGACCTGCAAAAGTGGGCAATCTTAATGCAGACATGTGAGATTGGCCTGCGTCAGGTCAGTGAAAGTCCTTGCTGAAGGGATGGTGGCTGAATCTACCTCCAAGGAGTCCCTGAAGGCAGGATACAGGCTCCGAGCCACTACAAAAGCATGTGCTACCTTTTGCCCCTGAGCATTACTCATGGCCACATGCCATTGTCCTCCACCTGAACACAGGGGACTCATTTCACCTGGCTTCACTCATCTGAAAGTTAGTACTAAGCTGAAACCCCCCCAGCCTGTGTATCATATGGGTATCGGTGCTCCAGAGAGAAACTGAGCCCACCAGTCCTGTGCAGCCTACAATTAATTTCTCCCAAGAAACACCTTTGGGTGTTAGCCTTTGACTCTAATTCTCCCACCAACACCAAGGTAGCAGCTGGTTACAAAGGCCTTGGAAATCTGATTTAACTCCCTTCAGCCAGTGGTTGAGAAGAGAAAAGCCCAGGGGAGGTACTCTTTTATCCCTGAGGACGTGAAATTTCATTTGTGGCTGACAACGCTCTTAATCCTGCCTTTATATTGATGAAGGATCTCTGGGTACCTCACAGTTTCTCAGTTTCCCTAGACAGCAATTGACCTTGTTAAAGCTATGCATCAGAATGCACTGGCAATCAAGGTGCTATTGATTTAAACCTAATGGCCAGCCACTCGGGAATTTCACCTGGAAAGGAAAATCAATGCCACCTTATTTTATTTCCTTTTTTTCTCCTGTTAAGATATTACAATGAAGTGGCATGAGAGTCTCACCAGCTCCATACCATTAAGCAATACGCTTGCAGAGCTAAGAACATCTGGTCAGGCTCTGGTAAGGTAGCTACAGACAGAAACGACTGCAGGGTTAAACAATTTTCCTTGATTGCTTGCTGCCATCCGCATCTCTCTCTGCTGACCTTCCCCGAGGCATGCAAGCTGCACTGCTATGTGGGACTCCAGAGAGGATGTCTTGAGCAATGCATTGCCCTATTACTGGAGGAGCTCTGTGTAGGAAGGATGGTCTCTGTCTTGTCCTTGCCTCATTTCGGTTGTTTTCTTCCCCCATCCCAAGGGGAAAGTGTCACTCAGAATCTGCAAGATTGGTTTACAAGGCTGGTTTAAATGCACAGCAGGTGAGCACCAGCCAAATACATGTTTAGATCCATGGCAGGACTGAGCAACACCACAGGCTCCCTCCTATCTACTGAGGCATGCTAGGACCATCCCAAGTCTCTCTGGCTTCAGTGGGGTAGATAGTTGGTGTCCCATAGGAGTCTTGAACATTTTTCAAGCCAGCTCAGGGGGAACTGAGCCCCGTTCAACCTGGCTTTGAACACTGCCAGGGATGAAGCAGCCACAGCTTCTCTGGGCACCCTGTGCCAGCGCCTCAGCACCCTCACAGGGAAGAACTTCTTCCTAATGTCTCATCTCAGTCTCCCCTCTGTCAGTTTAAACCCATTCCCCTTTGTCCTATCGCTATAGTCCCTGATGAAGAGTACCTCTCCAACATCCTTGCAGGCCACCTTCAGATATTGGAAGGCTGCTATTGGGTCTCCACTCATTTCCTCATGAAGTGATACAGAAGACAACCTGATTGGGTTGCCTTGGTGTGTTATTCATTGCCTTTGTCCTTACCTTGATACGTTTCCTTTCTTTGTCAGGAAAATGGGAGCCACTGCCCCAGTGTGACCTATCTCTAAGGTACAAGAAAATAAAGACCACTCATCCTACTCCCTCGGACACCTCCCAGTATGGATGGCTTGGTGGAACAGAACAGTGTGCTAATGCACAATAAGATCACGGAAGCCGGGAAAAGGAATGGTTTAATTAATACAAGGAACTTGGTGGCAGAGAGTAGAGATGGGCTGGTCTCTGTGTACCCGACCCCTCAGTACCAAAGCCACCGAGCAGGCAGTCTTTCTTCTCCGGGCTGCCTGGAGAATGGCAGGAATGACCCTGTGCAGCAGCTCCTGGACCCCAACATGCTGCAGCAGACAGTGGAGTCCCACTACCGGCCCAACATCATCCTCTACTCAGAGAATGTGCTGCGCTCGTGGGGCGAGAGCATCAGCTCAGAATGCTGTGAAACTACCTTCATCGAGGACCGCTCTCCCACCAAAGACAGCCTGGAGTACACAGACAGCAAGTTCATAGATCTCTCAGCAGATGACATCAAGATTCACACCCTCTCCTATGATGTGGAGGAAGAGGAGGATTTCCAGGAGCTAGAGGTCAGATGTCATTTGGAATGTGTGGGGAAGGCCAGTGGGGGGAGGAGGTCATGTTTGGGGTTAAGCGTGCAGCCTTCAAGAGCTGATCTGCATGGAATCAGCTGCTTTGGAAGCTGGTCTGCATGGGATCAGCTGTATCACTGTCTCCTCCAGCCAGGACGGTGAGTGACCGCTCATGTATGTTTGTTGGGTAAATTCCAACTCTATGCATATTAATGGCAAAATTCCCACTGGTCCTAATGAAGACCAGCATTTCCCTCCTGTCTCTGAACGGGCTGGTCAGAAACTGAAGATGACCCATGCACTTAAATGCTCTATGAGTCTGGGGTGAGGAGCATCCATCCACATACATGGAGCTTGTCTTAGCATTCCAGCATAATCTCTTGATGTATCCTGACTTGAGCTAGGCATAAGCAGATTGTTTTGCATTCTGGCTCAAACATGAAACAATTCTGTCTGTGAATGAACATAACATCAGAAGTTTTTGGGTTTCAAGCTGCAATGAATCCCCTATCTCTGAAATAATTATTTTTTTTCTGATGGAGTGAAACATTTCACTAGATCCCAAATGCAAAGTTTTCTTCTAGGCTCCCATGCTTCATTGATTGCTCACAGTAAAACAAGATACATTTTATTCTCCAAAGGGGCAGACTATGGAAATAAACTTCATGCTTTCTTAAATAATGCATTTTTTTACTTCCAAAGAAATCTTTTTTGTTTTGGCTGAAACCAGCTGCCCAAGTGCACCACAGGTTTGTGTATGTGGGAATGGAGGATGTGCATCATGCTGCTTCACCCAGAGTTGGTCACCGATTCCTAACCTAGCAGAGACCATTTAGCTGCCTGGAGCAAAGCCATAGCTGTGGCTCGAACAGGAAGGTTGAGATCAGGATACTCTTTGCTAGTGTTTCTCTGCTGCTGGGGTTTTCTCCACTGAGATATAACAAGTCCTAAAACTTCTATTTTCACCTCCTGTAATACCAGTGTCTCGCCTGTGATCAGCACAGGGGCAACCCAACAAGAGCCTGACTTCTCCTTTATTCTCTTTTCTCCCTGTATTCATAAGGCAGGAAGAGAGAGGTGTTTTTCCCAGCGTGTGCCAGTAATACAGCATTCAGTGCCTCCGCAGGGAGACAAAAAGTTCCTCTCAGAGGCATGTGAAGGGTGTTTGCTCAAATCACACCCTTCTACAGCACTTCAAAATTGGCTGTGGGAAGCCTCGTTTTCTTAATCAAAACAAAATCCCTAGTTGCTGCCTTTTTGCCCTAGTTCCTCTCATGCAGTAGTGATGCAAGTG